TATATTTCCTGTTTGGTTTATTTCGATTGCTTCTTTAATTTTAATTTTTGCTTATCTTGTTGCATCCCTGTTTTCTCCGAGTTCAAGCAGGCAATAGGCATAGTTATCATTAACTCTGCCTTCTTCCATACAACACAATTTTCTAGACCTTTTAAATCTAAAAATCTCCTTCCTACAAGGTGTAGATAGTAATTTTTGAAGATCTGGCTCCTGACATCCTTGAAGAGGTCACTGGCGGTGGTTGTAATTGTGCGCGCATGAGTGCGAGTGTGCTGTGGTGTGTAACCACATGCATTCAAGGACTGTCGTAGAGCCGGGCTACAGGGCCTTAACAGAATCGGTGCCATGGCTACAGACGATGACTAATCCGTTCGGATTTAGCGTGTATTCGGACATGTGTGAGTTTACAGGGCATGTCAGGACAGGTTGCAGACGAGGCCATTCGGGTATGTGTGCTCTAGTGGACCTCGGCATTGCCTTTTTGGCCAAGTCGCATGCCTGCCTCTGAGGGCTTCGTCTTCTTCTGCCAACAGACGAGAGTGCGTGGCGAAATTTCGTGTCAGTAGGCCTGCAATTTTGCGTCTCCACAATTGGATTGGGTGCTTGATTCTGACATCAATCAGCCACAGGCTACGGTTTCTATCTCAAAATGGGTTTCCTGCAGACGTGTCAACGTCATGGAAATGGTGCTGCTGAGCATTCTGCTTTCGCGATCACTTCCGATCTCTTCGGGGCTTCCTAACTCATCGCTTCAGTGGTCCTAGGTACTAAATCGCTGTCGTCGGGACCAAATTTTAATCAAGGATATGAAGATCAAGATGGTGTAGGCCTCGGTATGGTCGCAGGAGTGGATAGATGGGCCAGGACAGAAAGAGAAGTGATAGTGTAACCGTATCGGCAGAACGTTGGTCTCTTTGCCGAGTTGTAGATTTGTGATGAGAATAAAAAGACTCACTGATGATGCCGGAGGAACGTCTGAGATTGTACCAAGTCCACGGTCTGATGCTGGGGATAATAATAACTACTATGGCCGAAGACTTCGGACAAGATGAGTCCAACTAAGTTGCTCTGACAACAATTAAAGTTGTGAAAACGAGGTAAACCCACTTCTAAAAAGACCGAATGCCCACCGAGTCCCTCCACTCAGGGGCGCCTGATGCGCTTTAACGTCCTTTCACTCTTCAGCAACCTCAAGAGTTGCTTCTTGGCCAAAATTGAAGTCGACGATGCCACAGTCGGGCCTGTGGGAGTCCTTTTATTCTTCGGGTTCGACAGAACTGGGACAGTTGAGGCAGAATCTGAGGTTTTGATGTGTGAAGTGAAATGATGACAACTCGACTGGAGGGTGCGCCCTACCATCTAGTCTCCTCCTGGTCTGGCGTCTTCTAAGTTTCTAAGAATCCTGTAATGCAAGGAAGTCATACCTTGGTCTCATCGGAGACTGAAGGAAGATTGCCTTGAATAAGACCGCGAACCAAAGAATTCTATTTATGGACATCGTCAGAGACGGACGCCATCATTTACGAAAAATTCACCTCGAGCACAAAACGAAATAAGGTGTTTGGCTAAAATCTTATTTACTTCTAATATCAAACTTTGCGATCTTAATACGGCATTCCATGATTTGGTTGCCTACTTTTTGTTTACCCTACATCCATGTAGGCGAGTGAACATGATGTATGCACTACTCATATGTCAGCTGACAACTCTGAACTCAAAGCAGACTCCAAATTAGACAAGCCTTATCCACTTTCTTGGTGGCTGTTATGTTAATTTCCATTGTCTCCCAAGCATCAGGTTAGTTGTGGAGCCTCCAAATCCTGCAAAACTGTGGGATTTAGACAATTATTTATGGTCTCTCATAGCGATCACATGTTCAGCCACCTCCGATTTCTGAACCCAATGCAAGCCTAAAGACCTCTTCCAGACTCTCTTTGCCATGACGCCAGATAGCAAATTGAGCATTCGAATATCTCCATAGTATCTTCCGGACTAGACGGGCTTCTTAAATCAGCTGGACATCAAAGAGGGTAATGTAATTATTTGCCATACTTGGAGGCCAACACGAACCCAAGGCTAAAACATTTGCTTGATTATACGATCTACCGTTGAAGTTAAATATGGACTATTCATTAATTAGTTCAGCATGCTCATGATTGACTCCTTGCTTAACCCATTTTTCAACATAATCTCCTAGTATAGAGGTTGTTTGACCTTGTTTTAGCAACTTGGTCATATTTGCAGGAAGATATAGAGGAAGGCACCTTGTACGGAGCCCATTGTATGTATACATGCTCATTTCTGGACGTGGTACATTCCCAGACGTTTCGCCGGCATCCTCAGTGAGTCTTGCCATTCTTAGCATCATACTGTAACTAGTCAAAGAGACGAGTGAAGCCGATCCTTTGACTAAACGTGTGATAAACATTTGTGGTATCTCCTCTTCTGACAGAGATATTCACATCTCCTATATCCTCCTATCACGCCTTCACTGTTACAATTTTGTTTAACTGTACTTATTTCGATGTAGTGCTCCTTTGAGCGGAATTCATAAAAACCCTTCACACTCCACGCTGTCGTTCTCACTCCCTTCACCCTTGTGCTGGAAATGCTGATCAGAGTCTGCCATATTGTTACGCAGTCCTACTTCCCTAGGTCTTATCACAGTCTCTCTCCTGCTCCGTAAGATCCGCCTGCTCTCTCCCTGGTTTACTTACTTCACTCGACCTCTGCCACCCCATCTCTGCTACTCGAAAAGTTATTACACAT